CTTCCTCCTCCCTTAGCTCCCCCTCTCCCACCCCTAGTACTTACCAGCTTGGAGTGGCTGCAGCAGGGAGACTGCCTTAATCATCAAAGTTCTCTGAATCTTTTCCAAAGATTCAGAGAGCTTTGAATCCGTTTGGACCATTAAATTGGTCCCGATTTGATTCAGATTTGGAGATTCGGCCACCGAATTGGGCTAAATCTCCTGAATCAAATCACCACCCAAAGCTTTGCACAGCCCTACTGGAGCTGTATATCTAATTCCTGGAGACTCCAGGGCGATCCTGGAGGGTTTGCAGTCCTAGTTGGAGGGTTGTGTTTTACTTTGTTAACTCATGTGAAATGTTTCCCTTTCTTGTGATCAGCATTAAAACTTATTGAACAAGCTTTACAGAGTAGAGTTCTATTATCTCCTGCCAAATCATCTCACCATCTTGCCACAAACCATTATATAGAGCTCTTAAACTCCAACAACATAACTTGCCCAGTAGAATTCTTTTGACTGCAAGCTGTGCAATGAGCAGTTTAAGGAGAAATGTGAAAGCCTTTGGTCTATGGATCATTTACAGAAATATAGAAAGTAGCATTGGAAATGACTTACTGAGTTCCTGCATCAGGTCTCCTGCACTCTCAAGCAATCACGTGATATAATCCCCTTCATAAATTTATCAACCTCTCTTTAAAACTGTTCCTATTAGAGGCCTATTCCAGAACCTCTGAAGGTTTATTTTCAGTAAGTAAAGCTTACTGAAAAGCTTTGTAGAGCTTTTTCAGTGCTATTCCACGGCTCTGAGGGTTAAAAACCTAATTTCCCACCTAAATTTATTCAAGACAAGTTTATACCCTCTTGTTCTTGGGTCATCATTTACTTCACCTTGTTTACTTACTCCCAGGAGAATTGGGCATATCTCCATATCCATGTCAAATCCTTCAAACTTGAAACATCAAGTGCTTGACTCACCATTCTCTATCAGCTTTGCATCTGAATGATGGTGTAAAACTGATGTCATGGGTGAATCAGGACCTTAGTTCCTATTTGTGCAGAATCCTTTTGCCCTAATTCATCATATATGTAAGGAGAATGATCTATTGAGGGAAATACTTGCTAGGGGGAAGCATGCTGGCACGGAAGTGAGTTCCTCTTTCTGGAGGTTGTGGAGATTGCACTTGAGTCTCCTTTGCAAAACATGACTGATGAATCCTCTGCAAAATAAGCACAGCAAATGACACCACCTGAAACCCCAGGGAGGTGATAAGATATTCTAAACAACCTACCTGACCTTCTTGCCCCAAGTTTCTGTGCTCTGTATGTTCTATGAACTTTTTAGATGGATGACCAAGGAATATATTCAAACTATAGTTTGATTTTGTAGTTTAATGGTGATCTCTGGCTCTATGCAACACAGATTATCTATAGATGATTATGCAATGCACTGCAATAATGCTGACAGGAAAAAAAGTTGTTGGGCAATTGACTCAGATTTTCCAGATGTGACACATCAGCTGAAGATTTATGTAGCTGGCCCAAAGATGCACTATTTTGGAAAAAGAACATAATTTTGAGTCGTTGCGTGCATCTACACATGTGCTTTACTGCAGAGCTGAAAGCTTCACAGTTTATAAGTGTGCCACTATTAGGACACATATAGATGGTGACAGGGGCTGGTTGGGGCACAAAGGTGTAAAAGTGTGGGGGCCGCCTGCTGCCTACTCTGGCATCTCATGCTCCAGCCAGCCTCTCCACCACCTGATGGCACTACCTGGAGCTTGGAGCTGACTCCGGCCCTGACACCCGCCAGCCTGGGACCACTCCCCCCTGGCTCAAAGTGTTGCAGTCCTGAGTGCACATGTAAACACTGCACCTGGGAGCATCTGACTGTGGGGTGAACTGCACCAGAGTTTATTTCTTCACACTAATAGCACATTTAGATGTACCTATTCATTCCATTTGATGGCAATCAAACAGGTGACACAATAAATTTAATGAATAACAAGATTAGGTGACCATTTATAGCAATGAGAAATAGGTACCTAATTCCCCATGCACTGGTATTAAAGCTACAGCTTCACCACGCACACTGTCAAAACCAAATTGTTATCATTGTTACCACAACCAGGCAAGAAACTTCATTTTAAGCTGAAATCCAATTAGCCCTACAAAGCTTTGAGACAGCTAGGAGGAACGTGCTTTTAACTTTACTGTTTGATGGGATTTATATGACATTTGTTCAGCTGTTTAAGATGTGCCTGCAATGCTGGTATAGTAAGGACTGATTATTCAGCTAATGGGTGATGTGAGAGGAAAGGTTCTGGGGGCAAAGGGGAACCCAAGGGTGATAATCACCCTTCACTTATCTCAGGTGCACAGCCAGGGCCTGGATCACTGTGCTGTGCTTCCAGAGTGAGCGCTCCATCTGAATTGGTGGCCAGGGAGTGTGGAACAATACTTCTGGCCACAGAGAGCAGCAACTGGGAAGAGACTGTGGCATCTGCAGAGAGGAGACAGTGTAGGGCTCTCTGGTCAGCACCAGCTTGTAGCTACTGGCAGGTGAATGGTGCATGGCAACAGGCAAGGGTGGTTAGAGGACCACCCAAAAATACTGTGATCACATGGACAGCCAGGGTGACTCGCTGGGTGCAGGAGTGAAGTACCAGGCAAAGCAGGTACTTGAGGACGTGGGTGATACGTGGCTTGGGATCACCAGTCTGCCAGGGACATGGCAACTCAAGCCAGCTGGACTGATAGAGCCAATTTATGACAAAGAGTCAACCCTGATTGAAGGACAAGGAAAGGCTTAAGTTGAGTTTTGCCCTAGTGTGTGTTTGAGGATCCCTACATAATTGATAAAAAGAGAGGGAAGGGGATAAACCCCAGATGAAAGAGAAGAGTTGTTTATTTTCTTTGGTTCCTTTGGTTCCATGCTGGACCAATAAAGTGATCTGACAGTGGGTGGATCAACCTCAGGATGAAAGGGGTGGACTAAAATGAACCCCCCTGTTTGAGTCAGTTAAGGACTTGATACAAGGTGGCAACCCTGAATGGGCAAAGGGGCATTGGCCAATGTACCTCGATGACACGATTAATGAGTGGGGTAAATTAACTCAGATTGCCTTATCTGGGGGGGCTGTTAGTTCACTGATGAGAGCAAATGAGCCCTGTGCAGACAGTGGTGTAGAACAGACCTTACTGGTTGATTGATTGCCAATGGATCAATTCAGAGGGCCTGACCCAGATCTCAGCAGTCTAGGAAAAGCCCCTAAAGTGGACACAATGGATCAGTCCCCTAAAAGAGAAGTTGAATATTAATACTGAGGAAGTGATAAAGGTGGCAGAGCCCCATGAAGAAATTCCTCCAACAGGCCCAGACTTATCACCCAGCAGAACCAGTTCCCTAATTGAAAGAAGATCAAAGTCATGATGGGTGAGAAAATAACACCAGAAAATGGGTAGGAGCTAATATCAATGCCTCCCCATCCTGATGTCATTCATCAGGAAGATGCCAGGCCAGGGGGGCTTGGCCTTACAGCACCTAACCCCAACAAGTAGGTTGGCCCAAAAGTTCTGTTACCCAAGAAAGAAAGACAGAATTCTGTACACATTTTCTAAATTGTACCATTGAATGCAAACCTGACTTGCATGCCATGCTTTCCACTCATAAAGTGTTTGAGCACATAGGAAGAACTAAATGTAACTCAATCCTGGACCTATGCAAGGATCACTGGCAAACACCTTTAATCCAACCATCAGAGGAGTCCTCTGCATTAAAAACTGCATTCAGTTTGTACTGCTTTACAAAGAGCACTGATTATGTTTCAGAATAACGGGAGCGGCCCTTTAGAAGATGTAAATCCAGTGCAGCTATATAATTGGACAACATAGACCAGGGGTAGGCAACCCCCGCCACATGTGCCAGAGCACATTCAAAGGCATTTCTCACATGCCTCAGGGTGGATGGCAGGGAAGAGCTGAGGCTCAGCTGCCACAACAAGAATCAGGCCACTTGCAGCTTCCCTGCTTGTCCAGCCCTGGCATGCCAACATCTTACAAGTCAAGGTTGTGGGTGTTTTTGGCACTCTGCCCAAAAACATTGCTAACCCCAGACATAGACATTCATTTTAATATTTAGGAGCATCTTGAACAACTAGATAAAGTTTTCTAAGAGCTCTGAAGGGCAGAGTTAAGAACATATCTGGAAACACATTGCACAGGACTGGTAACAGCTTAAATACCTGGGATATTTGTGAAGAAGATGTCTTCTGAAACATCAGCGGAGAAAGAGCAAACCACCCTCAAAAGTCTGCCACTATAAACTAAGACATAAATAGGACATCTTTGGTGTATAGACTGGGTGGCACAGATTTGTTCCACATTATTCAACACTATCAGTCCCCCTTGCTTGAATTAATAGACAGGAATTTGCTAAAGGGGCCTAACTGAATGACCATGAAATAAATACATCATCCAGATAATAATAAGGAGCATATGTGAGCATCCCATTCTTCAGTGCCTAGCTTAGAGCTGGGTGGAGAAAGGCAGTTTCACTTGGTGGGAGATTTTAATATTTTCATATTTGTTTTTTTCCAGTGAGCAACACAAACCAATAATTCCAGATCCTCCATAAAAGGGGATGGTGGCCCAGCTTTGGGACAGTTCAATTCTTTCAGTCCTCAGAGAAGTGTGAGGGAGAGGAGCTGGAAATAAATCAGGGCAAGCTGCTGCTGGAGAACAAGAAAAATGGCCCAGAGAAGAACAGGCTAGTGCAGGGGTCAGCAACCCCCTGCACATGTGTCGAGCGCGGCATGTGAAGCCATTTTGCTCGGCACACCATCGCCAGCCTGGGCTCTAGGCAGCCACGAAGCCTGGGCTGCTCCCAACAGGCAGCTTGGTGGCTGCAAGCCCTACCATGGCTGGCAGCAGCTACCCAGAGCCTGGGCTGGCTGCAGCCAGGAGGGTGCAAACATCTGCTCCAGGCTCTGGCATTAGCTCCATACCAGCAGGTGCATGCCTGCTTCGGAGCAG